ATTGTACATACAACAAATGTAGTATTATACAAGTAAATATCAAATATTTATAAATTCTAAATCACAATATTTTATATAATCAAAATTTCTACTACTTCATTGAAAACGAAAAATCGATTGTTTATTATACTCTTTATAGCAATAATAATCTTATTTAAATCAAAAGAAACTTGAATCTGATTATAATACTTCCATACATTCGCCATTATATTTAAATAAACAAGTTTCGATGAAGATTTAAATGTTAAAACATTGATAAAATTGTTTTAATTAATTATGAAAAAATTATTTCGTATATAGGATAGCGAATTTAAAAATAAAAGTATTTAAAAATAAAAATAATATTTTCTGTAACATTTTTAAAAAATCTCGAACAACTATTAAATTTTACATCTCTTTAGAGAGATGTGCATGAACATAATATAATATAAGAGTTATTGATATTAATATTGATTGCTAATAGTTCATTCATTTGTTCGTTCGTTTGCCGTAATGTCGACAATCTTTCGATTGTTTGGTTATCATTCCTTTAATAACATTATTACGGCCGACCTTGAAAACGTGCTTCATTACGAGCATCCTTTTTAAATCGACTCGGTAAACGCATTTCGATAGGAATTGTCGAAGTTTCAGAAATACTCCAACGATTGCCTGCTACCTCGGACTCTTAAGGCTTTTTAAATATGGTGGATACCAGCACTGCACACCGTGAGCAGCTATATGCAATTTTGCTTTCGCCTCCTTCCGCGTTGCGAGGCGTAATACTCGAAATGCATTTCGAGCTTCATTTTGAATTCAAGAGCCGTTTCAACCTTAATTCGTGAAAATCAACATCTCGCCAGCGATTTTTGCACCGCGCAAATCCAGCATTGTAATTTCTGATTGAACTAACGTTCTCGCAGTAATAAGATCTGACTGTTATAAATTTTGTTGGTCATGATCTAATAAATGCAATTTATTTTTATAATTTAATTGTTTAATTTAATCGTTAAATTTAAAGTTGCCTTTCCTAGGGTAAGTAAATATCTTATTAAAAATGTAATGTTTTCCTTTTAATTTTGAGTTATTCAAAATTTTAATTTATTTTGTCTGCGCTTATATCTGGATCTGTTTTCAATCTTTAAACTATTCCGTAAATTATTCTATAAGTTATTTTATAACTTATCATTTTAAATTATATTTCTATAAATATAAATTATAAAACACATTTTCTTTCTACATCTTAAATAATTATTACTCTACATTGTTAAATCTATTATATATAGCGTCAAATTTAACTTAATTAATTTAACATGCAGTCGTCACTGCTCCTACTAAATATATCGTTATTTTTTACCAAAACGTTAGTTAAATTTGACACTATATCAAATTGACACTATATAGTGTCAAATATAACTATTGTTTTAGTATAAAATATGATTGAGTAGGAGCAGTGACGACTTAGGTTAAATTTGACACTATAAATTTAATAGTGTAAATAAATAATGTGTCATATTTAATATAACTTAAAAACGTATAGTGTTTGTCGCGACTATTATAAAGCGAATTCCCGCAATAGATTCTATTTTGATATTACCATGATGCTCATGTGGATCACGTATATATAAGTCTTCCACGTTCATATATATTGTAACATTTTAATATTTCGGATTTTATTATTATAATTTTTTAACATATTTCTTGTAAACAATTATTTTTAATTACAATTTATATATATTTGTAATTATATTTTATATAAAATATTATTCTATTAATGATAATATTTTATCACAGTAATAAAAATTTACAACTTATCTTATCAAAAAATAATCTTATCGCGATAAAATATGGGATTTCTGCCACAATTTTTTTTTTAGTTTTTCAATTTATATTTATATCATTTTATTCCTTCTTATGCACTTTTATACATTTTTATATATTTTAATTTTATTTAAATTTTATCCAATAAATTGTTAATCTTAAATTTACAAAAAAGAAGAATTTAAATAAATTTAATTTGGAAAAATTAATTTAATATATATTATATATATATATATACATACATATATACATACATATAAAGATACTTCATATGAATCATGTACATTTAAGATAATCCTTACCTAAATTACATTTCTTATTTTATCGAAGATATTGCATTTCGTCTACGTTTTAACGGTTATACATTTTATGAATCGATAAAATTGAGATTAGCATCAATTAAGGTTTATCAGGCGTCATTTGAATAAAAATAGCTGGCGTCAAAGGCTTTTGAATTTGAGTAAGTTCAAGAAGCATCCATCTGATAGTGGAAGCTTCGTATACGACAGGCCCATTAAATTTTAAATGCCTGGGAATTAAATGCCGGAGCTCGCCTGCCACTTGATCCACTGGCAAGTATCGTGGCAGAAGCTTTGGCACACAAGGAAATCTTGTTGAAAAGAAATAGTTGAGTGTCCTCTTGAAAGACTGTAGCTTTCGAAGTAGCTATTGAATATATTTGCTACAGTTGTTTGCAAACATCATTGTGGCGTTTACACAAATAATAATCCATATTTGAATTGAGCTATCAAAAATTATTATATCAAATATATGTATATTGTATATAACAATTAATTATTATTTTCAATATTATTTTAGATATCAATAAGCATTTAAAAGAATTAAGAAAGAGAACTTGAAATAAGAATATCAAATAAAAATAAGCGACGATATTTAAAGTAATACTTATTATCTGCCAAATGATGTCAAGAACAATTACACGCAATTCCGAATTTTTTCATGCATCGTATAATAACAATTGTTCGAAAAATTTTGAAAATACTTTTTTATTATACGCGTTGATGTATCAATCTTTCAACCAGGCATTCGTGAACTGGCATAGGCGGCAAACTTGTCGATTTTATTCATGAAGAATATTACGTTACATATTCAGGAAGGTTACTGACCAACTGTTTCAAGTTTCGGAATCACCGATTGCTTTTTGCTCCAAAAACATGGTGTACGGAACGCAACACAATTTGCCACGGTTGGCGCAAATAAATTCTCCCCAAAAACGAAATCCAATAGGAAGTCTGAAACCTGCGTTATCTGGATGGCATCGATTTCTACACACACTATGCATCTCCCGTTTCGATGGTGACTTTCGATGCTGCCGCCACCGCCCTCGCTGGTCGCGTTCTCTGGCTGGCGTTATTATTCCGCAAGCCCGGTAATAACCAAATTAACGCTATACACGAATTTCCGATGCAGCGCACGTAGTAGTGCGCGGCTTACACCGACAGGGCGACCTGCAAGCGTAAGCACCCCAAAGTTCGGTATCGCGAGCTTGCCTCGAGCGATCCAATGCTGGGCTTTGGTCTCCTCGCCGTTGCTCTCTCTATCTCACCCTCTCTCTCTCTCTCTCTCTCTCTCTCTCTCTCTCCCTTATTCCCTCCCTCCTCCCCTCTCTCTCTATGTCTCTCTCTTTCTCTCTTCTCTATGGCACATAGACGGTGTAAGCGAGTTTCGGTCAGCGTTCAAGGAACTCGAGAAGCGCTATCCACTACCCCTACCAATATAACTACTCGTGTGTATTATATATGTGGAACTCATGTGTGACCAACGGATAAGTTCTTAACGACCCTTCACTTCGGTGCCGCCGCCATCGCCGCCGCTGTCGTGCCAGTTGCATGTGCAGTGAGCTGGTCGTGCTGTGCAACAGTTCGTGGGATCTTAGTGAATTTAGCATAAAGATCGAAATTGATAAAAGAGAAAATTATGATAAGAGAAATCCCACTTCGTTTATAATATTTTATGAAATTTTGATGTCCCTAAATATATTAATCTGCACTGCATATTACATATAGATAGAATCCATATTGCCTTTTCCCTTATAACTTCAATGAATTCAATTTTCGATATTGTGAATACGTAGAACTTGTACCGATTGTATCGTTTGTTTGCATAAGTAAACGCAAGAGTCGTGTACAGACGAATCTGAATTCAACGAAATTATACCAATTTCAATTAATGGCTCATTTAACTGTTGCCATGTTAAATTATATTTTAAATTATAGATGTGTGTAATATAACGAACGCGTCAAGCTTCGTTAATATTCTATTTCCTTTTTGAATTAATAGAACAATTTGTTATCAAATGGGATGGAAAAACTGCATTTTCACGGTACGCTGTAATGAATAATTAGTTAACGTCTGGTTTTGATAGGTAGATAAAGTGATTTGAAGATTGAAGTCGAGATTGAATTAAGGATTAAGGCGTAAAAATTCATAACTGTCTTTCGTTGAGTAATTATTCTTAAAATCTTTTTTCTTATTTGATATGTTTTAATTTTTTTATACATATTTAATTTTAGAGTTTATTTTAGAATTTTAATACTATTAGAACGACGCGAGGGGCTAAATTGATTCAATCACGGTTGAAAGTAAATCTTTCCTCTTTCTAAGAGGACGGTTGTCATTATGAAAGTAAAATTACTTGTAATTAACTATGATTATATATGAAAAGTCACAAAAATCTAAAATTCTATGTGCAAATTCAAATTAACTGGAAAAGAAAAACTATCAGATGGGTCAAAAACAACATAGCCGTGATTCTAGTGATAATATTTTAATAATAACTAATTGTTAAATAAACAAAGTTTAGTTTTTTGATAAATTGATAACGTACAACGCACATTTGTTTGTATACAAATTTTTCAATATTTAAGGGAATTATTTAAGGGAAAATTATAATAAAGATAATATTATGTTACAATCACGTGTTGGTAACTATTATGCGGCATAAAACTGTCAGTAAATATAATTTCTCGCGATAACAGGCACCTACAACAAAAATTAATTAAAAAAAATTAATAAAACAGCGAAAAAGAGGTAACAATAAAATTCTTGAAATTTGTCGATGCCAATTTTCCATAAAAACGATTCTAACAGGCAACTCGGTGTTATCTCGCGGCTTATTCAATATTCCAAACTTGTTCCCGACAGTTTTTCTAACAGAATGAACGGCTATTTCGTTACAGAACTCAACTCGACATCGCCATCGACGAGCGAACTCGGCGACCTCGTTGACGAGGTTGAGAGCGACGAGGCGAACGCGGACAACGCAGATGACGAGGATGCGGTCGAAGATATTCTTTATATACGCGGTGCAACCTTCACGATACATCTGGATGCCCCAGCCGAGAATTCCACCGTGAATACGACGAAGATAAACGAGGCGAATGCGGATCGGATCGAGCTGCACGCCACGTCTCAGGTAACATTATTCGCCATATTTTCTGGGTTAGCTTGTCGTATTGTTCCGTAAGTGTTTGCATGTTCTTCTGCGATCATTTGTTATGTAGGATTTCAGAGGTGTGTTATTCTGTGTGAAAAATCTAAAGTTTTTGATCTACAATAAATATACAAGACAATGTCAGGGCAGCTACTACTTTATTACGCAAACTACATCCGCGATAAATTAATGTTAACGTGATAATAACATTAAATTTTAATAGTCCTGTTTTTTACTTTCATGTGTAACACAATATTTTTTTTTAATTGTCACATGTTGGTAACTATTCATTATAATATAGAGGAGAAGTATTATGGTAATGATATATAGTGGCTCTCTTAATATTTCCGTTATAATATCTTCGCTTAGATAGTGAATTCTATAGTGAATAATTATAACTTATAGAATTATTTACTCAGTAACTCGTTACATGATGACGCTAATATACAATAGCAAGTATTTATTATAACGTAATTTTACTTTCAAAACATGTTTAAAGTACATTTTAGTATTTAATTACATTTAGTATTTAATTACACATTATACTTCCTCATTCTTTTTAAATTTGAGAGTATTATCACACGAATACGTATATTTGAGTGTGTTAATATTTTATTTCGAATTATGTAAAGTTAAACAATACTATGGCATTTTGTTAACGTGGCTGTCTAAGCTAATTGCTGATGACCTCTTTTTCAAGATTTTTATGTTAAAATAATTATTCCATAAATTTGTAGCTCTACTATTAATATATATATATAGTTTATATGATATATACTATAGATGTTTAGCAAATACTGAGCTGTCTATATGCAGATAAAATAATGCGTACATTTGCATGTATTCTATAATATTTTACTTTTTCGTTAATTTTGTAACAAATACTGTTTTTTAAACAAAAGCAATTTTTTAAATATATTTTTGTGGAAGACTACCCCTGTTTCTTTTCGAACAAATTTGCAGTGTCGTTACATTTTTATAAATAGTATCTTAAGTCATAAATGTTTCATAACTTTGAATCAACTGAACAACATTTTGACAAATGTAATCATTAAGTTTTAAATTTAATTTTTGATTATTAAGTTATTAAGTTATTGTACGTATAAATTATAAATAAGATGTCATAATACAATTTTCTTCTCTTATCATTTATCAATTTTTCTTAAAGCAAAGTAAAAAGTAAAATAAAAAATGCAATTGCTTGAGATGACATATATGTTGAGATAGTATATATATGTATAGATATATATATACATATATATATAGTATATATATATATATATATGTATAGAAATATATATACATGTGTATATATGCGACACACACACACACACACACACACACACACACACACACACACACACACGTATACATATACCTCAAGATTATACCTTAAGATTTGACTAATTGACATTTCTATTGATTTTGAGCAAATACTCGATATAAAGGAATAGTCAATATCGAATTCACACTAAGATATATTTGATCAATATGTCCATCACCACTAAACTGGAGAGAATCGATTTAACATTGTCTTTAGGTTAAGCACTCCAGAATAGAACATTCCGTAAAGGAACATAAATGAATGTCCATGCCAAGTATAGAAATAGCGACAAATATTAAATCGAGCACAAATGTTTCACAAATGTTCTCAACTGAGGAATCTTTCTTTAAGCTAGAATTAATTCCCGATACATCCAAAGGACATAAAGTTCTGTATGACAAGATTAAGGATTTGATCCGAATGTTGATATCAAATAAGACATAAGACTTTGTACCAATTGTCTTGAGTTGTATAATAAATATTGAAAAGTTTCTTTTGTTATAATTGAGCAAAATTAAATTAAAGATGAAATATACAGATAAATATCAATGTGTAAGAGATAATATTATAATTTTACTAAAATGTGTATCAATTGATAGAAATTAACCGAAATTGTAAATTAATATTAACACTGTGATTGATTACGTGGAACATTATTAAAATTTAATAAAATGAAATTGGCACAGACATTTTAATGATATCAAATTAACACATTGTTTGATCAAACCAATGTTATGTGAATTCGATTCTTTCTCGGGTGATTTTCTTTTTCACAAATAGATAAATAAATTTATTTAATATTTGGTAAGTCTCGGCATTAAGCATGAGGTTCGCAGCTTTTAGATAATCTTTATTCAAAAGTCTCCTCAAATAAAAAACATGAGACGTGCAACAGGTACTTCACATCCGCTGTAGCTTTCTTAACATGCAGCAGGCTACCCCGTTATTTCTGAAAATTTCTTGGCCTCGAATCGACAACAACAGCGAGCAGAGGGATCAATAAGTGATGAGGCGGATGTCAGAAAGCGGGTCAACCCATAAATAATATTCTCTTCTCTTTGGTTGCTTACTAAAGTCATGTACTTCCTTCACTTTGTTATGCTCGGAACTATGCGAAAAACACGTTTTCACAAAACTTTCTTTAACTTTCTTATTGTTCAAGCATGTCAATCTTGTTTAAAATATAACTTTTTCTTATTTAAAATATAACTTGACATGACATTTATATTTTACAAATTAAGTTTTTTTTAAGTTTGTGTAGCATCAATTTAATGAAATTTTTTAAACACACGTCCGTCTAATCTTCAATTATTCTTTGCTAATTGCTTTAAAATATTTTTGCTTCTACTTTCTTTTTATTCACTGCATTAACATCCATAAATGCGCGTGTGCTCTCTCTGTGTGTGTGTGTGTGTGTGTGTGTATCGTATACGTAATGTGTAGATGTACTATATGAGTGTCCGCAGTGTATTGAGCTCGGATTCACGCGATACTGCTAAGCCCAAATGACTGTGCGGATCAGTCATCCCTGCGGGAAAATTACGCTTGTATTAATGCAGATAGGTTAATTATGATAAATGTGGTGCTTGACGCTGTGTTAAATGTAGTTCTATGAGTATTTTCGAATGATTTAATTAAGAAATCTGATTCCACAATGACTGATTCCACAATATATTAAGAGATTAATTAAAAATAAATAGTTAAAAATTCACAATGACGCAATAACTTTGTCTAAACGCATATAACGTAAGACATATAGAAAATCGGTTTCCTTTCTTCGATTTATAGTTTCTTCTCAACGTTAAATTCCAATTTTTATACGTGCAAACCAATACGAAGTAATCCAATATGAAACCGGTGATGACATTTCTTGTATCTGTGGATATTCAGGGCCCAAATCTGGAGCAAAAACTGCCATCTACGATGGAGAGCATCGTGAGCACTGAGCCAGCATGTTCCTTGGACTGCGGACCGGCTGGAAATTGTTATATCGAGCAATCTCGCGGAGATGAAGTCGATGTAGTGATCGAAGACGACGACGACGACGGAGCCGTGGATCTCGAAGGCAATACCGTAAACCTCAGACGAAAGCAAGGAACATTCAGACAGAGATGCCAATGTCCTCTCGGAAGAGGTGGAGATCGTTGTCAGCTGGGTAAGTAATATTTTTTTTCTTTATCCCTCTATTTGCTTTTTTATCCATAAATGATATATTATATACAAAAGTTTTCTTCTCGATTAAATAACAATTTTGCCTTTGCAATACTTTGTAGAAAAAAGAAAGATGAGAAACGTATCGATATTGATTTTGTCATAACTTTTTGCTTTGAAACTCATTCCCTCAATGTGATATATTACCACAAAGAAGCAGAAAGAAATGCTATCAAATGTCGCGCACCGCGCTATATGATTCTTGTATCCATTGTTCTTCCAATCAACGTTAGATAGAAAGAAACGCATTCAGAAACGCAAAGTTAAGATCGATAAACAAATAAAATCGACGCGAGATGTAGTTGAGTGATTTTCTTCGCGAAAGTAAGCTTAAGATCGAAAGATCTGCGAGGGTCGAAGAATTGAAAACTTGCTCATCATCGGTCGCCCCCAGTTTGTTACGTTCTGCGCAAAACTTACGGTATCTAAGTCGAAAGAGTACTGTTTTCGCCTCGAGGTCCCGAGAGTTCTGTGCATTCGAGACGATCAGATCTGTTTGCACCTGGTTGCTTTACGGAAACTCCCAGGAAACTCGGTATGGGGCGCTCTTGGTAATCTCAAACTTTTAACCCTTTGAGATGCCCGCTGTGCTGTCCGACGAATAACGTTAAATGCTCTTGAGGATCTTTGGAGACCTGTCGTCACAGAAATGTAAATTGCCGATGGCATACATACGAGAAGTTCACCATCATGCCATCAGCCATCTTGAATCACGACATAGGAGATGATGAGGAGGATTACATGAATGTTCCTGTCAATTTAAGTCCATATAAATATTAACAATTGGTTCATTACTGTTAAAATATGATACAAACTCTGCTATTATCAATTTAATTAACGTAGCATATAAAAACGGAAAATAATTAAATTAAGAAAATAAATAGCTGCTAGAATAATTCATAGCAAGATAACAGAATGGTTTATAAAAGAGATAACGTACAAATCGATAACAGTTTCAGATATATAAATCTGTCTCGTCGAGTTTTTGCGAACATAAGATACAAGACAATAAATTTAACAAAATAAGACAAATGAGAGTACAGTGCAATTAACAAAGCGTAAATATAATAGTAATACAAAAAATATTTTCTTCCTTGGATTAAATATGATGTCATCAATGATTGAAAGTTTTGATTTTCTTTAGAATCCTTAGCAATTAAATATCTACAGAAAGTTAAAAATTCATCCTTTGTTTATCAGAGTTGAGTCACAAAGCAAGAGTCAAATCCAATCATGATATCAATCTAAAGTATATTAATGATACAATCAAACTTTGATAAGGTATAAGAATTGTTCATGTTATTTCTTTTTCTTCTGTTATCATAATTTGGTGTAGTTGATTTGTTACTAAATCTAATCTTTAAAGCAATGCTTTGTAATAATAATCCTCCAATCTAGGTATAGAAGAAAGTGGGGGAATTGCGAATACAGGGTAAACGCAAACAGTATTATTGCAGTATATTAGAGTAGTGGTAACCTCTCATTTCTCGTATCCACATAGTCCGATATATGCTTACTGCCGTAATATAACTCGCGTCCATAGAACACACACGCTATTTAAGATGAGTTATTATATATTTTTGAGGATTTTGATGTAGGTAAGAATGAAGGAATTGTGAATATTTAAGGAAAAAGTTAAATAAAGTCCATGATTATTTATTATAGAAGTCTTTATTCAAAGAATACATTGACTTTAAACTACAATCATTAACATTTAAATATTATTAATGTAAACTATAATTTTAAACAAAAAACAAAACCGATTGGCCATTGCCCCGCTTAGCAGTGAATAATTCCAGGAAAAAATTCTGTTTTTTATTTAAAATTGTTGTTTTTATTAAAATTTAAAGTTATTCATAATATATAAATTAATTATTCTAATTTAAAGTCAAATAATTAGAATATCTTTTGATAAAAACTTTTATTAGTTAATAAATAATCGTCAGTTTTATTTAATTTTTTTTTTTAGGTATTTATAGTTCCTCCACTCTTCTCCACTTCTGATACGATTTCCAAACAAATGAAAAATTCTGTTTATTTAAAAAAAATCGAGATCTACTTCAGCATTATCAATATCAAACCAATAATCAAACTGATTCACCAATATTGACATTTTGTGGATAACAAAGCTTGAATGAAACAATATGTAGCGTCAAGACACCGGATATCTGAATATCAGTTTTAGAATTTTCATGTGTTTAACTAGCGCATATGACAAAAAAAAGATTACCTTTCTAGTCGAATAATAAATGAAACATATCTTCTTTATTTTATCAAACGTGTATCAGTCTTCGTTTCTACTAACTATGATCGTTTGAAATGTACGGATTAAGCTACTCGATATTCGGTTTAATCTTGCAGAGTGGTTTATATTGCATCATGGGATTGCATGGGATTAAGCGGCAGAAAAATTGCGAGAGGAGATCGATGGTTTGTAGTTTGAAGTATGTTTTACGCCTCAGTATTTGAGTGTTTTATCGTGCAGTTTCCGTATATGACGCAAATCGATAAGAATTACGATATGGCAAACATTCATCTAGTTCTCTCATGACAAGCTATATATTACAATCGCTTACTCGAATGATTAAATGACATGATATAGCAGTTCTCGTAACAGCTTAATTTTTAATTAATCATCACATTAAATTTATTTTAAATTGATTTCTTTATTCAAGACTATGATAATTAAATAAAAAGACGATGATGTGTAAAATATATAAAACTTTTGCAGATTACAATGAAATATTTCGAAATATTATACATACAAAATATATAGTTATTATCCAACACATAATTAAAAGAAGTAGGTCATAAAGCGGATGAATATATATATAGTACAATATTTTTGCTTTTATTTATCGAAGTGAATATATCAATAATGCATAAAAATATTATCATTGTTTGCTTTTTGAAGTTAATTTATTGCTATGTGATTGAAGAATTACAGGAAAATTCTGTGAAAATACATGAATGTGGTAAAGAATACGATTGTACATTGTAATTTTATATATGCTGTGTGGCTGCGTTATTGATGCTAGTTCCAAGAATGATGGTGCTTACAAGTACACAACAGAAAGCAAATGCTTTGTAGTAAAAGCAAAAGATTATTCATACGAAATGTCGGATATCCTTTTGCTTTATGCGCCCGCTTCATGCTTTCGCTTCTATATCTTTGCTAAGAGCGTTTGTTCCGCTTTTATTTACACGAGTCAATAACGCTTCTATATAGTACAAGCAGAGTTAGAAATCCAACCGGCATAGTGGAAATGAAATAATGTAACGAAAATTATAATAATGAAATTAATTATTAATATATGTTGATCACATTAACATCATAATTAAAATAATAAAATATTAGAAAGTCATATACTAATAGTTATAATAACATCATATTTGTATATATTTTGGAAAATATTTTATTTATACGATGTAAAAAATGTATATATATATATATATATATATAAAATTTATTTATATATAGGTATATATAAAAAATTATTTATTTTTTCTCATAGAGTTTTAAGAATTTTTTTAGAATTTTTTATCAACTTTTGAGTAGGTACTGCATTTTCTTTGTATATTTTTACAATTATTTTTACCAAGAGAAAATACGGTATCAAAAAATTCTGAAAAAATTCTCAGAACTTTATGAGAAGAAAATAATTTTTGTCTCTTGCTGTTTTTTTATAAAGTTGATAGTATTTGAGTAAAAAGTTATTGAAAACCAATATTTAGTGATTTTTAGTAATTAATAACTTGTTAACTATTGCGAAAATTGCAAAATGGTAGACTTTTCGACTCAGTTTAGTCCGTTCTATTTACACAAAACCGCTTGGCAAAAAAATGCAGACACTGTGTATATATATTTTATATTATACATTTTTTACGTATCGCACATGATAATAAATATCAATAATAATATCGTATTGTAACTTTTCTTTCATTATCCGTTATGTATCTATTAATATATAGATAACTATGCGTCGTTTTTCAACACGTACAAATCAAATGTCCACAATTGACACGCAATTATGATTGTAAACGATGCTCTACGTTTTATTTTAAATGCATCGTGTTACAAGAGGCTGGTTTTATATTGACCTAGTACAGGATTATTCGCCACCTTGTTATTCGGCGTGGCCAAATTAAGCCTCGCTGAGCGGCTTGGTAAAACCACGAGGTGGGCGTTGCCTGACAGTTAATTCCGCTTGCGAAGGTTTAAAGCAAACGCGACCTGCAAACCGACTACCGAGTCGTCCTCGTTGATTCTCTGAGCAAGATCTAACGAGCTTAATTTATTTTATCAACGACGCCCACTGCACACCGCGCGCGCTCTCAGTTCCCGTTTATACATATAAATATTTATTCTTTAGAATGCGAATACGTCCATTCTCGACAAGAAATCCAAACTATGAATATTTGCACATTAAAAATATTGACCAGCCTGGAGCAAAAAAAAAGAAGTGACTAGATGTGCAGATTCAATATAAAATCAGAACACATATATAAATAAACTCCGAAGTGTGTCTGTTACGAACTTGCATGTTTTTTTATAAAGTGACTCAATTAGAGTAAACTATTAGGTCCTGTTATGTAATTATTATATTCAGAATTTGCTCATTGAATTCCATTATTTATTGATAGTTTTATTTAAAAATAAAAATAGATAAAAAATATTTTTTAAAAGTTTGCAAAATACTCGTTCTTGTGATATTTCAAAGTTGAATAGAAAAGAATAGCAAAATTAAATTATATATCCTTAAACATATCCTTCTTCTAGTTTTTTTAAGAAGAAAATCACAAATAAAATGTCAAGCTTAAACAATAATAATTACGTCTGTAAATATATATATCACAATTACAATTATACGTCGAGAATATTCACTTATAATAAATCACGCATCGCAGAATTAAAATCGGCAAGACAATAGTCTGGCAGGACGA